CCAATCACTATTCACGGTACAAAGCCACGTGTCCAGTTTTATTAAAAAGAAGCAATCATCCGCTTAAGGCACGCAATTCACGCGCGCCACCTGGTTGGTTTCCGCTCATCTCGAAAGACCCATACGCTAGATTGCTGCTTTGTTTTGGGATCGTAACTATAAATCCATATTTCGTCACCTGTTACTATGTCCCACACCAAATTTGAGGCCCCTTTGTTGAATCTGGTAAGCATGGCATTGCACCAAGTGACGCGATCCGTTTTTTGAGCCTCAGTCAAATTTTGTGGGATCCACCGAGAGCACAGCTTTTTCACACCCAAATGTTTGTGTAGTATTGATTGTATTAGACTCATGCCTATGCCTCATGATATATCAGATGCCTGTCTGTTTTGATTATACGGCGCACAGCATCGATGTTTTCTGCAAACCAGCAGTCGTGCGTCATCGCCAAAAACAGTTTGAAGCCGAGCAAAGCTCCGCTGAGCTGTTAGATTACACTTAAAGTCAAAGAAAATCATACTATAAAAATGTTCACGAGTTAAATCCTTGGTGATGTAGACAACTAATATCTAAAACGACGCCACAATGTAATACAAAAAACAGTCAGATGAAACGTACTGTATTCTACAGCCAAAGAGTTCCATCTTCAAATGTTGTAATTACTTTTTAAATATTGTTTATGTAAGTAGCCAGGGGGTCTACTCTAGATCTCCGTCCAACATCCGTCCGAAACAATTACTGTCAAATAAGTAATATTCGACAAAATTAAAAGACAAGTATCAAGTATGAAGCTTCATTCGCCTCACGCGTCTTTTCATTTGGTCAAGTATTGCTTATTTGGCAGTAATTGTTTCGGACGAATGTCGGACGGAGAGTAAACCCCCAGGTTCGGGAACTTATAGTGCGCCCTATGTATACGCGATTTAAATCCGGAAAAATGGTTTCATTTCCTATGTGTAGCAATCGCGAAAACCTAAGAACTCGTTATATAGTATATGCAATTCATTTTCTATTTTGTGTTTAATGTGCAGAAATGTCTAAACGATTGTTCTTTTGGGCCCTGGTAGTGGTACCAATACTTAATCATTTGTAATACTTTCCATAAAAAAACAAACTATCTTAACATATAGTGTACATATCCTCAAAGAAATCTGTAATTTTTTTGGTATAATATTATCAAACACTAAATTGAAGGTCATTTCGGTTACAATTTGATGAAGACATTATAGTGTACTAAATGAAGGAGTTATTTCACAGAAAATATAAAACAATCTGGAGTACTAACGAGTTTTGATATCCTAATTTCATGTCTTTAAATAAAAAATCCAAAGTGAAAATCCAAATTTTTGCATAAACTGATTGCAGAGTGCCAAAGAGTTTTATCAATATTTATTATACACTGTTTTAGATAAAAGGTACAAAGTGCCTTTTTTATGTTGCCAATGTAATGATAAAGGCCCAAAGTGCTTTATTTGTATTATACTTTCATGAAAAAATACAATTGGTCACCTCACAAACCTCACCATAGTTGGGTTACATAGCTTGTAGGAATTAAATGTTTGTTTATGAACAATTCTTGTAGAAGAATGTTTCCGCAATAGCCTCGCCATGATGCGGTGCTCTTGAACCGTATGCGCTTTTTTAGTTTGGATTTGGCCGTTTTGTAGTTTGCCCAGTCCTCATCCGCGGATGTGTTCATTGCCCTGTTGAAGCGTCTCCTTACCCTTTTACGTAGCCTCTCAAAGTCAGGCCGCTACCCGTGTTGGCATTGCCGCGGGACCGAGTCACTCAGTGAGCATGCGGAGTTATAACATAATATGTTTGATGTCAATTCTTTGACCTGTTTTTCCATCTGTGTTGTATCCAGCAGTCTTCCCGGTACTACCGGTCCCCTTAGGCTCTGGTTTAGTTTGTCAACGTGAAGTTTATGATCGGTTTTTCGGCTGTTGTACTTTGGTAACTGTTTCTGAGCTGAATCTTATCCATCTGTGGTCCGCGAAATATGTTTCTTCGGACACTTGCCAGTTATGGATAAGATCCACTGCTCCTTCTGACGCTAGGGTTAGGTCTATAATAGTTCTACATCTTTTATTTATAACAGTTGTCACTACCTTTATTAAGGATTTGAAGGTTAGTTGTGAATAGTATTCTGTTACGTTCTTACCTCTGTCATTTGCGAGTTCTATGTCCCACAACGGATGGTGGGCATTGGAATCAGTAGCCACGATGATATTCTGGGCGTTCTGCTCGGAGTAGTTGATTAGCTGTACCATTTCCTGCGGTGGTGGCACATCAGTCACCGCTACATAGACAGAGGCGAGCACCACTTCCCCGTGGCCGCGTCAACTAGAAGCTTTACGGCACACACATCTCTGGAACAGAATTCTGTTAGTGTCTGTACATGTAAGTTATTAGAGTAATATATGGTTTATCCGAGGCAATGTTGATAATAACTTACCTCTCAGATGTCGGAGTCCAATTATTTGGCCACGGGCACTAATCCACGGTTCCTGGATCAGTGCCATGGCTGTGTTGTTAGCCTTTAACTACTTCCGGAGCTAAACCGTTGCGGCTTGGCTGTAGTGAAGGTTGCTCTGGATGATATGAAGTTTACTGAGCGAAGGGGAAACAGCCATCAGTACACAGCAGCTCCTCGTCCACGTCCTCGCTCAGTCGGATGTTTCCCATCCCCGACACGCACTCGTCATCACTGCTAGCTGCCACCGGTTTGTCAGCGGCGTCCGCAGGGACAGGGGTCAGGGAGGGTTTACCTTATCCGGGAATGCTAGAGGAGGTGGAGGGTTCCGGGGAGACATTTATCTGTGTGGTTGTGCAGTGTGTACAAGCCCCTCTTGGATCTGAACCTGAAGTAGACCGTGCCCAACTGGAAGGTTATAGACGCCGGTCATGCCCCAGGACAGTAGGAAAGAGTTCTTCCGGGAGGCACATCCCCATGAAGGAGTGTTCACTTTGCTGCAGCAGGTTGTGGACAACCCAGCGGTGAACCTCCGCCCACGGGTTTTGCCACTTGAGGATGCGGCCGATTTGACGCGCATCCTCCCAATGGCCAGGCATGAGCAGTCCGCAGACCTGTCTCCGGAGAGCCAGTCGGACTGCAGCCGAGAGTTGTCAGTGTTGGCCCCAGGGTGTACCGGCTACATCCTTGGACATTCTGTGACAACGTGTTATCACAGACTGCTCAAGAACTTTGCACGCGTGGATGTGGAACAACTATATTATTACGGTATCGCCTATTTGGTGCGAAGTATGGATCTGCTGCTTATTTATTACTAAAGGAATCCAAGTTGGCGGAAAATAACGAAAGCTTTATCCTGAGGTCTGGTTCCACTTCAACAAGGTGGGAATGTTGCGACCCGGTATTTTATTTTGATGGGCCGGTACCGGGTCACGACCCGCCAAATGGGAAACGCTGCATTAGAACCAGTTTCATTTGCCTATTGTAGGTACTCTATATACGAAGATTAGGCAGTAACGTGTACATAATCTATGCCAGACATTCATTGGTTTGTAGTACGGTAATATTTATAAGAAGTTTATTTAATTTATTTTCTATTTTTATTTTGACAGTGATACCACTGTAAATTTAAAGATTTCACAAAAAGTCACCGATTTGTCTTTTCGCTTCATCTTTAGAAAACATTGACAAAAGAGTGAGTCGTCTTGGTAACGCACATGCCGTCTGTATAGTGCAAACAACTAGTGTAAACACTTTTTCGCATTGGCACTTAATTCTAAGCTTGGTAATCTTTATGTGGACCTTTTGTTGAATTAGTAAGGTAGGAGTTATCGTTCGGTATTTTGCGAAGTAGGTACTTAATAGTTAAAATAATGACCTGATGAGTAAATAAGTAGGGGAGAGACAAAGAATTGCGGACACTTAAGCGAATATCGAAATAAAAATCATATTATTAGTATTAATCCGTATTTTTTTTATTATAATTAAACTTTACAAAATTACCATAATGTTTTATCTTTAAATAATCAACAAATATAAAATTTTTACAAATATAAGTTTCGAGGATGTATCTTATAAATATTAATGGCAAACGTAACATTTCATTAATTCTCACATAACAGCGTATACGCGGCACTAAAAATAAAGTAAAATTACAACACAACACATGAAAAAAGTATATGATACATGTTTTGAAACGCGTGCTTAATTCTCACATACCAGCGTATACGCGGCACTAAAAATAAAGTAAAATTACAACAAAACATATGAAAAAAGTATATGATCCTTGTTTTGAAACGCGTGCACGGCCTCTCTCCTTGACTACTTTCCACACACTAACGATAGTGAATGTGATCGAAAGATCGCGATAGCGGGGCGCGGAGGGAACTAGACTTCTAGAAACGATTGCGTCTAAAATTACCCCGCGTCCGTATTTACCCCACTGTCCCCTACTTCAGAACTTAGATTTCAGAAAAAGCATTTAACGCACCCGTGACTCGTACGATACCAAGATCATTAAGTCCTTGTACGTTTTAAGTAAAAGAAGTGTTAATAGTTTTATTACGCCATTGAAAGGATAAGTTGTCGTTTCGAAAGGTAACATTCATTGGTGTAAATAATATTTCTTCAACTATACGGGCTTATAATGTGAATCGACTATGTGAGCTGGAGCAGAAGTTTGAGCAAGATATTTCAGGGAACTGTAGTCCAAAGCAAATTTTTAAAAATCAACAGCCACATCGCTAAAAAGGATAGTGGTGGTAATGTGTAAGCAATGCATTGTAAGTCATTAAACAAATCAAGTTAATATGAAAATACGAGCTTTCCTTGTACATAGGAAAGTAATAACTGATTGCTATATACCTAGAATACTTAAGTGAAAGCTATTTTCATTTGTAAAATAAATTATTTTTACAATATTTAATTTCACTTTTGACTTATTATTAATTCAACGTTGTTATTAATTCTAGACTAACAACTTTTTAAAAAGCATGTGTAACTAATAAGACTCATAAAATTTCAGAGTTGTCTGAGGAGCAAAAAGCGTTGCAAGATCTCGCTCGCAAGTTCACCAGAGAAGAGATCATTCCAGTCGCGGCTCAATACGACAAGAGCGGAGAGTACCCTTGGCCCGTCGTCAAAAAAGCATGGAAGCTCGGATTGATGAATACCCACATTCCCCAACATTGCGGTAATGTATTCTACCTAATTGCATTTTCCACACAATCTACCACTTGGTTAGAAAGTACAAAACCTGCACAACATTTTCCTTATAAGAAATCCTTCCTGACAGTACGATACGTTATTAATTATTTTCTGTTTACTTCGTCTGTTGTAATTTTCTGTACTTGGACTTTGACACCACTGTATGCCGCGTGAAGCGTTTTTTCTTTTGGAGTTATATAATGATGCCTATGAATTTTTAATAAATTATTATTATAACGCACGCACTAATAGCTCCGCACTAGGGAAACCCTGTGTCACGGGTGCCATGGACACAAATAGACAACCACAAATTACTCCCAAACTCGCGAGAGAATGTAGGCCGTACAAATATTTCTCCCGCCCCGGGTATCTGGGCCCGGGAACCCGAGACCTCTGCGTGGCAGTCCAGTATGGTAATCGTTCGGCCACTGAGGCAGTTATAATCTATCTATCAGATATCAGCTAATAACGAATAAGTATGAATAAGTTAATGAGTTGGAAGATACATTAACACACACTGAAGTCTACTTGTTTAAAATTGGAATATTCAAAAGTGTGTTGTGTGCAATGATTTGAGTAAGAGTAGTAAGAATGAAGAAAACAATCTTGTAATAGTTGGGACTTGTTTACAAGGCGAGAATGTATTTATTATACTTGTCGGCTGGCAAGAAGTTATTTTACTTTTTAAAGAAATGTAGCAACATTTTGTGTACGACTCCCGAAAAAAGAGAGTACAGAAGCATTTTAAAACATTTTCGAATCTTTCATATGTCTGTAAAGATTATAGTTACGTTATACGGTCTGGCCTCATTTTTCGATGACAATGATATCGGTCTAAGGGAACAATGTGAAATGAAAGACATTTTGCAGGAGGAATCCAATTAGGTACATTTGATTCTTGCCTTATAACCGAAGAAATATCCTACGGTTGCGCGGGTATTAAGGCGGCTTTGTTGACTTCTAATATAGGCGTGAGTTCAATTTCTAATAAATTATGAAATGATGCTTAACTAACTAATAAGTTAATCGGCTGAGTTTTCATGGAGTAAAATGTCTGTAAATTATAAGCATAAAGACAAGACTCTAAGGGCTCTTGTTGAATGTCGTTTTTTACCGGGTATCGGGACGGTGTGAAACGGGTGTTTTTATTAAGAGGGAGCAGAGGAAAATTCCTAATCTTCGATTTGATTTTAGAAGGGTATATCCACTTTAAAGTTAAAAATAAAATATAGTATGAGTAACTACACGATATATTCAAGCATAGACATAAATCAGAAACATAAAACAATAAAGTTTCCTCGATAGATGAAAATCACGAAATGACCTCTAATTTTCACATTTTTTCGATTTATCCTCGAAATGCTACAGGTTATTAGGACAAAAATTAGGTAATTAATTATATTTATGCATGATCGACAACTGTCACTACGGATTTTTTTAAATCCCTTTACTTTTGAGTTATTCCGCTAAAACGAATTTGGTACTTTTAATGCGCAAAATTCAACATCTCCTGTCGCATGTCACGCGAACTTCAGGCATATATTCGTTTCACAAATGTGGGCGGAGCCAACGTCAAAACTTTTTTGGTATGAGAGCTCTTAATGATTCATTAAAATACGGAGACGCTTACGTTTCTAATGTCGACTAGAAAGAAAAATAATTTTCTTTATCAGATAACGCGTCGAAGATTTATTTTAAAATCATGCTGCAGTTTTCTTTCCATGCCGTAAAGTTAAGCTGCTTATTTTTATAACTTTCTGTAGTTTTATCCAGTAGCACAGGTCTATTTTCCTCTAATGCAACTAATAAATCGATGTGTATATCAAGATCCATAATTTAGTTGTAAATAGTTTGAATTCGAAAACATCTATCCGTCCGGAGTCGTGAACACACTTTATATTGGCGTGGTTCACTGTAACGGGCTGGCGAGTGTCGCGTCTTGTGGCGCATGATCAAACCTTCAATCAAATGTAAAGAACACTGAGCGACGGGCATCGGCCCGTTGTAGAAAACGGACCGATGCCCGTTGCCGAAAACGGACCGATGCCCGTTGGCGTCAACAAGAGCCCTAAAGAAGACGTATCAATACAGAATCTAGCCAATTTTATTAAATATATAACTTTACTTTTCCAACATTTCTTATCTACTTTATCGTCCTTTCATGTTTACGTCGTTTGACGTTTAAAACTTTTCTGTCGTCGATATTTTATTTTTTAGGTATATATCAATTCAGTAATGTGAAAATTATTGATGGTATTTTGGAAGTTTATGATTGTACTGGCTTCACAGGAGGTCTAGGGCTAGGTGTATTCGAATGTGGACTCGTCAGCGAGGCAGTAGGATACGGGTGTACAGGAATACAGGCGGCGTTGTTCATCACCGATGTCGGAGTGAGATCGCATGCCAACATAATTATTGGGATGTTTTATCGCGGTGGAATGCAGACTATTGTGATTGTTGTCAATTATTATTATCATCATCAACGGCCGTTTCATAGCTACTCATGGACAGCTCATGTTTGAAAAACTACCTTGAAGTTCCATTTTTAATTCTTAAGACTTTGTTAAATGCAACGTGGTCCAGGTTTTGGGGTATTGGGAGTGGGTGAGAATTTGTTCAAAGAATTCGTATATGGGTGTTCTGGTACTCTTAACGTTTTGTTACCGTCAAATCTAGGAGTGAATAAATAATTCAAGTCAATGGGTATTTCTATAGCGTAATTAGTAATTAATGATGAAAAAGTAATACATGCTCTTTGACGTGAAATCATAGGAGCGAATGACAATTTCCAAAAACCATCGACACATATTATAGTTGTATAAGCATTTAACTAGAAGGATGTTTGAATTAGGCTAAAACTATCTGTCTCCTTTCAATTATTTAATTAGTTAATTTTCTCCTTTTTTTTGCTGGCAATGGTTTAATCCATTTACGAGGGTAACTAATAACATAAAAAAAAACGTATAAAGCAAGATTTTGATAACAGGCATTTCAAGGGTACGGTAAGGCGTCGTCCGGCAGGTTATTGCATTTTTTTGTGAAATGTATATAGCATATTAATAGGTGTTAAATATTAGCAGCCTATATTTCTCGTTAATATTATTGAAACGTGACAAATTGCAGGGGGTGTTGGGAACTTGGGAGTTTTCGACGAATGCGTCGTTGGGGAAGAATTTGCGTACGGATGCACTGGTATTACGACAGCAATAGGAGGAACGAATTTGGGAGTGAGTGTTAATGCCATATCGTATAACAACCAACTGTACACATAATATATAAACAGTTAATATTATTTCTTAATCAAAAAGCTAATACATATCTGATTAACTCTATAAACGTAAAACTGAATCTTGGGACTTGAAACAATAAACTAGGAGTAAACTAAGTTTACCCCAAGTTTATTTCTTTTTTGCATTAAAACTTGATGGCCGGTGACCTGTGTCCTCTATCAACTTTCTTAAGAAACTTTAGTAAAGATGACACAAATAAAAACAGGCTGACGCAAGTTTGCTTTTATTCAGGATGAAAAGATTGAATTTGTGTTATATTTTTTTACCTATTTCACAGAATTTGTAAATTGAAATCTTAACAACTCATAATTGTTTATGCAAAAAAAGTTATGAAAGGTACAAATTCGTAGGTCAGTAAAGTATACAAATTTTCTACCCCTTATTTACCTGGGCTTGTCGAATGGACTTTACCTGCTTGCATCGTTGTTGGCGTTGGTGTTTGTAACAGTAAATTTGTTAAATACAGCCAGCTAAGCATAAGTATACAGACAAATTATATGTTCTCCGAAATTGCCAACAGACTATTGTTTTACCAAATTTTTATCTCAGTTTTAGTGTTGGCAGCTTTAGAATTTACCGACATCCATTTAACTTTATAATCAGAGATAAAACTAGATAGCCCCAGATAAATTGATATTTGTACTGAAAACATGAATGTTTATGATCCAAATTTATGTTTTTGCATCAACAAAATTATATCATTTTGTAGTGTGTAACAAAACCGCTGTATAGTATAAACCACATAAATAAAGACATTTAAAGAATTAGAAAATACTGATAAAAACAAAATAGTAGTAAAAAAATAAAAATTTTCGTTATAGTAATACAATTATATATTTAGGCACAAATTGTGTGGCCAGGACTCTGATCTCAGTATACACTGTGCAGACTCAATGCTCAGACTTGGTTCGCATAGCACTGAGTTTCAGCCAAGACTCACTGTGGTGCTCCAAATTATTTATACAAGTTAGCACAGACAATTCAACAACTTATCTATGAGCAATGCGAAAGGAGAAAAGAAACAATGACAATAATAACTTAGTACAGTCATGGCGTGTTAATGTAAATTATCCTAAAAGCACCTTAACTTTTTAGGCAAAAATCATATCCAAGATTCAAAAGAATGTTTACTTACATATGAAAAGTTACACAAAAAGAATTAAAAACGAAAAATGAACATAAGTATACTTTTTTATGATAGCAAGTGACGGGACAAACAAGTCGCGTTACGCGCCACACCTATCCATAACAGTTGAGTGCCATTCAAAGCTTTAAATCGCAAAGATCTGAGGGGCATTAGTATTGCGCCCGTCACCCTGATACATTTATATAGTTTACCAGCACCTTCATCTCCCAAAATCGGAACGCAGTAATTAAGTAAATTAAGACAACTCGCTTGGCGGTAGAGATAGGTCAGGGGCCGAAATTCCCTGAACGAACTCTTTCACAAGGACCTCTACTACTACTTCATACTTGTCCTAAATAGATACAGTAGAACTATCGTGTTTGGCCTCATTATATAGGTCTCGACAAGTTTTAGGTCACGGATGGTAACTTTATTGATTTTCTGGTGTATACTGTTTTGTAAAACCATTTTTTTTTCTAAATTTTGATTTAAGTTTTTATGATTATTCTTCACTGATTTAATAAGGGTTAACCCTAGAACAGTGGTAAAGAAGGAATGGAGCTAGTGTTGTATCCATTTGCATCACTACGGTTTGGAGTAACTGCTATGAAAAGACGAAAAAAAAAATTTACATGACATCTTCTATCGTTGCTCAGATACGTTTTTGACTACAGTAGAGTTTTTTTTATAATACCAAGTGATGTGTGCCTGGTGGTAAGGTACACGCCTATCCATAACAGTTGCAGTGCCACTCAGAGCTTTAATCGCAAAGATCTGAGGGTCACTGCCACTGCGCCCATCACTCTAAGACATAAATTGACAAGTCTATGTACCTGTAATTTCACCAGCACCCTTACCCTATAAAACCGGAACGCACATTACTGCTTGGCGGCCAAAATAGGTAAAGTGGCAGACTTCCCTGGACGAACTATTTCACAAGGAGCTCTACTGCTGCTAAAACGCCAACGCCAACACTGGTTCTCTCATATCACCTATCGTCTCCGCAGGCGGTTTGGACATGGGTATCTTTGACGAGTGCCTGGTTGCTGAGGAATTAGGCTACGGATGCACTGGTATCAAGACCGCGTTGGAGGCCAGTAGTCTTGGAGTGAGTGACGCAAATTAGGGAGCTTGATGTGATGCACGAGTAGAGATGTAATGTGACCGTCAAGTTATATGTATTTGAGCAACTTGACCGAGCAAATTGGGAAATTGCTCAATGTGCTCTGTCAATTTTGATCAATTATTGACAGTTACGCACGTCACGTAGACTTTTCTAGTAATGAGTGTGGTACTCTCTTAGACTATGGAAAATAAAGGACATGTTATGTTGACATATATAAATCAGATGTTATATCTTAGAGGATGGAAAAAAAATAAAAGAGAGGTGGAATGACCGTGCATACCTAAATAAAAATTGGACGAACAAATGGCGGATTTCTTTAGTGTCGTACCATAATCTATCGATAAGTCATTATCGACATGCAAACATTTCATTAAAGTAGATCAATATTCCATTTGGGAATATTTTAGGTTATATGGGAATATCCGGGAATGTCACATGAAATTTTGAATTTATTGTTTTGCGTTTACAAATACTCAAATATTACCAAAACTGAATTTGCACAGAAAAAATGTAATTTGAGAGTATATAAAAAAGAGAAAACTTTGAAATATGACTCCTATACATTTCCAACCTCAAGATTCATATTTTTCATACAGAAAGTTTTAAACAGATTCCAAATAGTGTAAGCTTTTTTGTATTTGTGCATTGGTATAGAATTAATATTTGTGACTGATTTAAGTGAATCTTTAATACTTCCATTTAATTTTGTAAATAAATGACAGTAGTAATATTATCAACAATAATATTATTATCATACGTTTATTTGCTTAAAACATGGTATAACAGGAGATATACCAAGAGACAGTGTTAGTATAAACATGTTTCGCATATATTAAATAGCATGCAAATGTCTGATTATACAATGTCAATTGACTACTATTGGCCGAGTACAACAGTTAAGCAAAATATTTACCAATAAACCTAATGATGGAATTGCATTATCATGTAATCTAGTTATATTCAAAGTTATGTTAAAATTTGACTCTTCAATATGAAGCGAATAAATGAAAATGGTCTTTGATTCAATGTTTATATTCGGCACTATTTTACGGCGGTATGATTTCTAACCATTCTTTTTTCTTTTTTGATTTGTTAGTAAACTTGAAATAGTAAAAACAATAATAATAAAATAATAAAAACCTCGTAGTGAATTGTTTTAATAACAGAATATCGATAATATGGACGCTTCCAAGAACAACACTATCTCAAAAAGAATAGTTAACAACAATCATCAAAATATACAAATAAATTTTACTTTGGTTTCTTCAGATTGCCTGTTTATTTGTATATTCTGATGATTGTTGTTAACGATAATGCCGAATATATAATGCCGTAATGCCGAATATATAAACATTGAATCAAAGACCATCTTCATTTATTCGCTTCATTCTGAAAAGTCAACTTTTAACATAACTTTGAATGTAACTAAGATTACATGATAATGCAATTCCATCATTAAGTTTATTGGTAAATAATTTTATATTTAATTTAGATTAAACAAGACATATTTACTAGGCATTCTCAGTTTCTGAAAACAAAATTATCCACTCGTTTCCGATTTTTTCCCACTGACAACTCTTAACTACTAAAAAAACCTTATTTTATAAAGCCAGTTTTACAATGACCATGTTAGTCTAACGTTTCCGGGTGAAGGACAATACCAACAATAGACAGCCTATTTGCCTTGCCTTGCCATCGTTCGGTGTCACTCGTATAGCTAACCGAGTGAAAGCGAGTGCTAACATGTATAGAGTTCGTTTTACGTGTCCTGTCACAACTCGCAGTCTCTCGTGACTACTTGTCTCACTCGGAGAAGTGTCGATTTTTCTGCACAAATCAAAGGCGCTCGGCCAATAGTAGTCAATTGTCATTGTATAATCAGACATTTGCATGCTATTTAATATATGCGAAACATGTTTATACTAACACTGTCACTTGTTACATCTCCTGTTATACCATGTTTTAAGCAAATAAACGTTTGATAATAATATTATTAGTGATAATATTACTACTGTCATTTATTTGCAAAATTAAATGGAAGTATTAAAGATTCATTTAAATCAGTCACTGATATTAATTCTATACCAATGCATAAATACAAAAAAGCTTACTCTATTTGGAATTTGCTTAAAACTTTCTGTATGGAAATATGAATCTTGAGGTTGGAAATGTAAAGAATTTATATTTCAAAGTTTTCTCTTTCTTGTACACTCTCAAATTCCAAAATTTATTTTTTTCTCTGCAAATTCACTTTTCGTAATATTTGCGTATTTGTAGACGCAAAACAATAAATTGAAAATTTCATGTGACATTTCCGGGTATTCTCATGTAACCTAAAATATTCCCAAATGGAATATTGATCTACTTTAATAAATGTTTGCATATCGGTAATGACTTCTCGATAGATTATGGTACGACGCTAAAGAAATCTGCCATTTGTTTGTTCAATTTTTGTTTAGGTATGGACGTTCATTCCGTACTTAGGGCTGCTCCTTTCTTTAACTTTTTTTCCTTACTCTAAGGGTACTCTGTTCCTAAATTGTAGACGTAAAATGTCTTAGGGCAAGGGTTAATAAAAAAGTTTGTTTTATTATAAAGAATAGTCAGAGCTCATACATACGCCCCGCCGGCGTCGACCTGCGATAAAATGCTAGGTATAAGAAACTTTATTAATTTTATTAAACACTTTAATGATTGATTTGTCTATGCATAAGTTTTGATAGGTATTTCATATCATTATGTAAATACGTTCTAGTAATCACAATTATTTAATGTAGAAATATTTCGTTTTCCTATTTGACAATAGTGACAACAATTGGTGCTCGAGCTTTTCTAGAATTTGGCGGTCTATTTACATCTGTTTGCACAAACTAATCCATTTTTAAATGTTTGCTTAACTATATAGCCATTTAATACTGATATTTTTTGAACAAGTCAATTAGCATTTTTCGAGATGGTGACATTTTAAAAATAATTGGAAGGCAACAAATTTTTATATTCAAATATTAAAATTACCAGTTGGTTGTTCATGAGTAGTATAAGAGTTTTATTCACTTTTCAATACACCCTGTATAACTTTAACAAACCCCACAGAGTTAATGCTACTCATTGTACAAAAGAATACTGACAATTTAATTTGATTTCACTTATATTTAATGTAATTGTTTGTCGATATTTTTTCAGGATGGATGAAAACTATTATACTAACCTTTTTATCGTTATTAACATTAACATGGCATAACGCCGATAATTTAGAGAAGAATATTTAGAGTGAGATTTTAATTTTTTTAAAGTAGTTATGTGTGTAAAGAGACGCAGAAAAATAGCTAATTCATATTACAGTAGTTACTAATTTTCACATCATTGATGTGACATCAATGCATCTCTGGCTTTACTTAGAAAATATAAAAAATATTAGAGTTAGTTACACCGCTCCATGAAGATTCATTATGCCAGTAAAGTGTATACATGTATTGTTTATTTCATTTATTAGTTTCTTAACTGCATCAATCTGTAGCATAACTCATAACTCATTGGCTTTAATACATTGCAGTATGTACTAATTTAAGTATTCTCATTGGTTTGGTTGCGATGCTTGAGTTCATCAATGTCACGCTGCATTGTTTTTTGCATCTATACAAAATTCGTACTTTTTGCTAATATTTCAATATAACATTTATACTGTAAATATCATTTTTAAGAGAAATCTGTAGATATGTATTAGTATTTTGAAATGTGGTATGAAGATTTTATTTTGCGCAAATTGGGGTACAATGCACTTTTTAATGACGCGGATTTGCTTTTTTTTGTTCTAATACAGAAGTAAACTTTTTAAAACCGCCAGATAATTTCGAAGCCCCTTGACAAAAAAGTAAATCTTAAATGTGTCCTTTTTATCAGGATATTGGAAATTGCTTGGCCAGTTTCTTTGTATTTTAAAGTTTCAATATTTCGAACTCCAATTTCATCAAGTCATTTTAGTTGTGATTGAACCCCTTTAACGATGTATGTAGCCTACAAATGTAAGATCCTAATTTATAACCTGTAATCCTTGTAAGGGTATGTTCATTACATGAAACCAAAGAACTTTTAGTAAGGGAACCTCGTGAAATTGGAAAAATTAAACGTCTATATCATTAAGTATTAACATTTACTGTGAAGCTGTTATTTTATTCGGCAATTTGAAAGAGATCCTCGTACTAAAAGTTGTTTGATCTCGCGTATTTAACATGTTTGTAGGCTACATTTCGTTAACCAAATTTAAAAAAAAATGTTCTGTGGGCAAATTCGGCCCAATTCTACATTACCGGACGAATGTCAACTTAGACAAAAAAATAAGTTGTTAGCTTTCTGAATATAAGGAATTAAATTTATCATCTTCAATTTATATATGGTCCACTGATGAGCAAGAATCTATGTAAAGAGCGTTAAATTTCACCACATTAACCTGATAAGGACATCATACGTCTTCCAAGAGTTGACTGACCCTTTTTCGTCGTGAAGGTTTCGTCCGAGAATGTACACATACATATATTATGAATTTTCCTATTAACTACTTTTAATTTTTATTGTTTCTTTGTATCAAAATTACGGAAAAATATATTGTCATATGGTACAGTGACTTCGTTATGTTTTAGCAAGCGCCAGTTATCATAGCTGGCAACAAGGAACAGCAGAAGAAGTACCTCGGCAGGTTGATAGAAGAACCCCTTGTGGCTGTAAGTATACCCTATATATACCACTTCCTCATTTCTCTCCAGCCTGACGATCACATGTGTCATTACTACATTAGTAGCTACAAAAAAGTTACAATTAGTTAATATAATGTTAATATAATATAATATAATATAATATAATATAATATAATATAATATA